GGTGGTTGAATCATTAAGAGGTGGGGCCTGGAAAAAGAGGTAGGGCCTAGAAAAAAGGAAGCTGGGTCCCTAGTGGTAAGCACTTGGCAGAGACACTAGCCTAAATAAGGCCAGAAAATTCCTTCCTATGTGTTTCTTCACCAATGTGCTGCATAGACACAGAACCAAAACAGAAGGGCTGAGTTGATCACAGCCCGAGACCTCTGGAAGCATGAGCAAAATGAACCTTTCCTTCTTGGAAGTGGATTGGCTACATTTCAAATAAAGAAGCTGTCAAATTTGCTACCATCAACATTCCTGTTCCCTCAAAGGACTTTCAAGATTGTGCCTGCCTTCACTCTGCTCTACCTAGAAGATGTTCTCACTTTGCTATACACAAATAACCACAATATAGTGAACTTCATACCTTCCATTCCTTCATTCTTTCCATGTTTAGGGATCTATGACATTTTGCATTATTGACTTTCAAGGGAAGAAAAATGAGGAGCAGAAAGAAATAGCTTTGACCATGCTACTACTTTGAGCCACAGCTCTAAAACAACAGACCAGCGTTTGTTCCTTTAAATCTCTTCATTCTTTATCAGTCACGAAATAGGATGATTTCTGTGTTGGTTTCTTTCCACTGCTGCGATAAAAAAAAGCACTACAAATCAATGTATACGAAAAGTGGTTATTTTTTCTTAGGATTCCAAAGGGATAGAAGTCCCTCGAGGCAAGGAGGTCATGGCAACAAAGCATCAGTCGTGGTGACTGGAGCAGGGAACAGAGATTTCACGTCCTCAAAGCACAAAGCAGAGAGTGAACAGGAAGTAGGGGGAGGCTTCTATGTCTCAAATGCCAGACCAGTGATGTACTTAAACTTTATGAATCCAAATTTTATAGCAATGGTCATACTTTAAAACTTTCTACATCTTTTCATCTATTGGGAGAAGTACAAAAGAGAACACAGGACAGGGATCAAACCACCTTGCCAAGCTTTGTGGCAAAGATCAGTTCCATTGATCCATCTAGCTGGCTCCTCTTTAATGGTTTACTCTAAGATGATTTTCAAAATTAATACCCATGTTCTCTGAGGACTCATGAGTAAAATGAACACTCGGCCAAAGAGGCCACCTAAATATGAAAAAATAGACTTTTGAGAACATATGAAACTTCAACTATCCTTTATTTTTATGTTATATTTTATCTTATTATCTGTAGTTTACCTTCTTATAGAACCCAGGGCCTCCCACAAACTAGGCAAGCATTGTACCCATGGCACATAGCCCTATCTCTACAAAGGGCCATGGAAAGGACTGGCTTCCTCAAATATTTGCTCTTAAGAATGAGTTTCTTTCATAGATTTGAAATCCTAGGGGAAAAATTCCAACCAACTTTGCTACATGATTTTAAATAACCAGGTTGTATAGATAAAGAGATATGCAAATGTCTTGCATATAGATAGGATATATTCAAACACATTATTTCAATTTAGAAAAGCCAAGATGTAAATTTTCAGCTCTAAATATCTCCATCGAGGAAGCATAAACTCAACTAAATTGAATAGTGTTTTAGGAATGGGAGAGTTTAAACACTATTTGAAGATATATGAGAAACACATACTTGTTGTGATTGAGTTAAAACAGAAAATGCTATTTGCAAATGAAGACAGATCTAAAGTTCAAAGTAGCACCACCAGAGTCTTCCCTGGGGAAATCTCAAGTGCTACCCCAATGTTTTGAAAAATGGTATCATTAAATATTTTTATCATGAGTAAAATAATTTTGAGGTCCTTAATGATAGGAAAGTGTTCCTATAATGCCTCTAATGATTCAAATAAAGCCAAATGCACACTCTGTCCATGGCCTTATACAGGTCGATTGAAACCTCATTAGAGCTTAGTTTTGAGTTCTCCATCTTTTTCAGCCTCAGGACTTCTGTGCACATCCATGCACTTGCTTTTCTTCTCTTTGAGATTCATCTCTGCAAGTTGAGGTTCTGGAGAGTCAGTTTCCCCAGGGAGTTGGAGCTTCCTTATGAGTATTAAATACAAAGACGAACTAATAACAATACTCCTCAAATTGTTCCACACAATAGAAGCTGAAGGATCATTATGAAACTCTTTTTACTAGGCTACAATTACCCTAGTAGCCAAACCACACAAAGACACAACTAAGATAAATACAGACCAATATCCCTCATGAACATTGATGCAAAAATATTCAACAAAATACTGGAAAATTGAATCCAAGAATACATCAGAAAAATCATTCACCATGATCAAGTATGCTTCATCCCAGAGATGCAGGGATGGTTCAAGATACAAATATCTATCAATATAATCCACCACGTAAATAATCTGAAGAAGAAAAACCACACGATCATCTCACTAGATGCTTAAAAAGCCTTCGAACAAATTCAACACCCCTTCATGATGAAGGTCTTGGAGATATCAGGAACAACAGGGACATACCTAAACATAATAAAGGCAATATACAGCAAACCAACAGCCAACATCAAACTAAAGGGAGAGAAATGCAACGTGATTCCTCTAAAATCAGGAACAATACAAGGTTGCCAGTCTCTCCATATCTCTTCAATATTGTACTTGAAGTTCTAGCTAGAGCAATAAGACAACAAAAGGAATCAAGGGGATACAAACTAGAAAAGAAGATAAAAGACGTCAAACTGTCACTATTTGCAGATGACATGATAGCTTACATTAGTGACCTGAAGAATTCTACCACGGAACTCCTACTGATGATGAATACCTTCAGCAAAGTGGCAGGATACAAGATTAACTCAAAAAATCAGTAGCTCTACTATATATAGACAAGAAAGAAATCAGAGAAACATCACCTTTTACAGTAGCCACAAACCACATAAAATATCTTGAGGTAACTCCAACCAAACAGCTGAAAGGTGTATATGTCAAGAACTTTGAGTCATTAAAGAAAGAAATTAAAGAAGATATCAGAAAATGGAAAGATCTTCCATACTCTTGGATACGTAGGATCAACATAGTAAAATTGACAATCATACCAAAAGCAATCTACAGATCAATTGCAATGCCTATCAAAAATCCAAGCATAATTCTTTACAGACCTTGAAATGACAAATACTCAACTTTATATGGAAGAACAAAATACCCAGAATAGCCAAATCAGCCCTGTACAATAAAGGAACTTCATGAGGTAACACCATCCGTGACTTCAAGATGTACTATAGAACTATAGTAATGAAAACAGCTTGGTATTGCACAAAAATAGACTGGAATCAAATTGAAGACCTGGATATTAACCCACATACCTATGAACACCTGATCTTTGACAAAGAAGCTAAAAATTTACAATGGAACAAGGAAAGCATCTTCAACAAATGGTGCTGGTATAACTGGAGGCAGGATCCACATGTATCACCATTCACCAAACTTAATTTCAAATAGATCAAAAACCTCAACATAAATCCAGCCACACTGAACCTCTTAGAAGGGAAAGTGGGAGGGAACCTTGAACAACTTGGCACAGGAGATCACTTCCTGAACATAATGCCAGGAACACAGACACAGAGATTGTCAATTAATAAAAAGGATCTCCTGAAACTGAGAAACATTTTAAGGCAAAAGACACATTCAACAAGACTAAACGGCAGCCCACAGAATGGGAAAAGATCTTCACCAACACCAAAGTCTAACAGCTGGGGACCACCATAGGACCAAACCAGGCCCCCTAAAGCATGGGTGTCAGCTAGGATCACTGATCAGTCTATGAAGTCTCTGGCAGTGGAACCAGGATGTATCCCTAGTGCGTGAGCGCACTTGGGGAGCCTAGTTCCCATGGAGGGATACTCTCTTAGCCTAGATACACAGGAGAATGGCTAAGCCCTGTTCCAAATGACTTGACAGATTTTGAGGATCCCTCATGGAAGACCTCACCCTGGATAAGGGACGCGATAGAGGGGCCAGTGGAGAGCATGGGAGGATGGGAGGGAGAGGGAACTTGGATTGATATGCAAAATAAGATCGTTTTTAATTTAAATAAAATGTATATAAGATAAATAAAAACTTAAATTAAAAAATGTTCATCTGGCAGACTATACAGTCACACAAAAACTATCAGTATAGCTTTCAGGAGAATTATTAAGGTGACCATGATTCTAAGAATGGTCAGTCCTCTGAACTGGCTCCCCAACTATGGTCAGTAGTGTATAAGGAAGATGTGTGATTAGTCAGCACACAATGGTGTTGGAGTTTATGAGTGATGCAGGAAATAGAAATATCATCAATAAAGTGCTCCCCAGTTCTGTCTATGCCAGAATAGCACAGAAACCCAAGAATATAATGTACTATCACCCTCAATTGACAGTTGGAGGAATAACCCCTTCCTATTCTCCAGGTAAACACTTTCAGAATTCCAGAGCCTAAGCCATGCACCTTTTGCAGTAACTAAAATCTCTTGAGAATACTACAGAGCTCACTACACACACACAAATGTGAAATTAGTCCAAGGTTTAAATACAGACAGTCTTGAACACTCAGTTTCTCACAGAAGCATCACTACTCTGCACTAGAGGTTAGTAACATACCTCCTTGTTCTACAACAGTCTGATCCTTAGAGAAAAGTTCTCCTGTGAACTATAACACACCTTCAAATACAAAAGATTGTGTCACCTCTCAGCCTTAACTTGAAGGATCCTCACAGATAAATTAACATTTTTCTTATCAAACTATACTATCCCTTCATAGAGGTATTTCTCTCCTATTATCTTTAGTTTGAATTTCTGGTTATTCATTGTGTTTTTTAACTTGTAACAATATTTTCTATAAAATAGGCTTTTCAAAACATATAAGAAAAATATATTTGTTTATTGTGTATCATACTCACTTGAAATTTTCATAAAGTAGTCATTTTTCTAAACTAAGATAAGCTGAGTTACGACTTAAGTCAGTTGTTTCCATCTTACATATTTGGAAGATGTTTAACACATCTGAGTAGGGACCGTTAGTGACAAACTATGCGAACTCAGCACAGGGTAACAAACGCTACACTAACTGCAGACCCATCTAAACCAAATACAGCGTTTAAAGTTTCCTGTTTGCCTTTAGTGAGTCCGCGTTTTTCCTCCTTGGCTTTTTCTTGGTGTTTCCCTTCTGTGTCACTTTTAGTCATATCCACGTTATCCTCCAGTCCTTCCTTTGGGAGTGTTTTGGGAAGAAAGAAAAAGGGGATGCTGGTGAGGATATTCACTCCTGCACAGATCAAAAAGCTGACCCACCAAGCACCGACCCAGCGTGTATCAGTGGGAGTTATGGTCAGGTCTTCTGTAAAGAAATACAGATAATTTATTAGTTTCCACCATTCTTTCCTGAGTAAATCATAGAAAATTTTAAGGATCATAATGCCGTCTAAGGACAAAACTGTGTATTATATGTATAATTGTAACACATTAGTCATGATTCTTATTTGGACCTTGAACTTGTGATTCTCTGCCTCTGCTTCCTAAATGCTGGGGTCAAAGGCATCTGCTACCCTCTGGGCGAATTCAGACATTGAGAAATGGTGTCTGATGTTGATCAATTGGGTGAAGTTGAAATTAAGAAGAAAAATTTCTGGATTGCTACATGGCATAATAGTCAAAACTTCATTTCAAAATGATAGAAAAATATCTGAGACATATTTAAGGAATTCGCTTTAACATGGTGTATTCATATCTTGAAACATCACAGTGGGTGTGGAAGGGGACGGGAGAGACAGCTCATTGGCTGAGAGTTACTGCTGCTCGGGCAGAACCCTATAGCCAGCACCCACATGGAAACTCACTACTGCCTGTCACTCTAATTTCAGGATATCTGAATCCCCTCTTCTGACTTCAGCAGGCACACCCACGGTGCATACACACATATACACAGACATACACATATGCATAGGGATAATAAAATGAAACATCACACAGTATCCTATTTTAATGATTTTTGTGTGCCTTAAAAAATTAACTGATTTTGTCTACCAGTAGAGGTGATATATTCTCAGCAGTAAATGATTATTTCTGTCTGTCTTGTGAAAGCTTTATGAATTGGTGCTTCCCACATGGCAGAGGTATCTCAATATCCACAGTGACTGCCTCATTGAGAAAGACCTATGTGAGTAAATCTTTGAGACTAAGTGTGTGGCTGCAGTGTGGTTGGAGAGTGGTGGGTTTTTGATCAGGGGTTGACATGTCATCCTTGCCTCTGCTTCTCTTAGATCTGCTGTCTGTAAATGGTCACAATTTGCCTGACATAGGATCAAAGGAGGCAGTGGTATAGCAATCTAGAGCATTCTCTCACACTCTAAGGAATGGACTGTGTAAATAAAACATATTGTGTTACCTGTATTCACAGACCCAGTGTCTACATAAATGTTTGCACAGAAGGATGGCAACAAAAGCCCAATCAAAGGGCCGATGATCCTGCCTGTTCCTAAAATCCCTGGAAGTAAACAGAGACTGGAAGTTACAAGACCACACAAAACTTGGCTTGCACAAAAAAGCCTTGAGATTAAATTGTTTTAATCTTATGTTTCTTTTCCTTCATTGGCAGAGCTGGGTATCCAGTACGCCAGCCAAGTGCTCTACGACTGAGCTACACCCCACTACCTCAGGTATTTTTATATTCAACATCTAAAAAATTAAGCTTGATATGTATGATATATATGTATGTATATATATATATATTACGTGTACATATGTGTTGCATGTACATACATTAGGGTCTATAAATACTAAGAAAACCTCCTACTGCTTCAATATAGAATGGCTTCCAGGAGCTCATGTGTTACAGACTTGTTTCCCAGGAGGCACCACTGGAGACTGAAGGAACCCTTCCAATGCAGGACATGGTGTTGAGTCTTCAGGTCATTGGGGTAGAACCTTAGCCTCTTCTTCATTCTCCTTTGCTTCCCAGACACAAGATGAATGATTTCACTCCTCCCTTCCTTCCTCCATAATGAGCTGCTTCATGACAGACCTCCAAAACAGTCCAGTGACATAGACCAAAACTTCCAAATCAGTGAGCCAAATGAAACCTTTGTCTTGATCAACCATTATCTAAGGTATTTATTAAAGTGATAAAAATCTGATTGACACAAAGGCTTCATCATGTAAAGCCACATCTCAAATTCTCTTTTATGCTGAGTTAAAGGCAAAGGCTGTACTATCACAGGAAGTCCCACCAAAGCCATAATGTGAGCAGGCACCTTTTGATGCTTCCAGAGCCATGCTTTCAAAGGGACTCGGTGATGCTTAGACTTAATTGTCAACTGGAAACCACCTAGAGGTACCTGGGAGGAGAGTTTTAATGAAGTATTGTCTGTAATGGGTTTCCATGAGGACATGACAGCAGGAGATTGTCTTAATTAAGTTAATTGATGTGAGAAGACTCAATCCACTGTGGGCAGCACCATTCCCTAGGCAGGGAGTCATGAGCTATGTAAGAGCTGAGCACAACTGTGCGAGCAAAGACACAAGAGTGCGTGCTGTCACTCCCCTTCAAAGTTCCCACTACTGCGGATTCTCTGTTGTGATGCAATTGTAAGGGAAAGGAACCATATTCTCGCCTAGATTAAATGTTCTCACAGCAACAGAAATGAAACTTGCAAAGTTTCAAAAGCAGAATGAGCTGTGGTGAGTCACAGACACTATCATGACGACTCCTGAAGCAACAAGGCCCATGGACATCAACATGGCTTCAAGTGGCAGCACAGACCATAGGCATCTACATGCCCTGTCATGGGAAAATAGGCCACAGACATCCACAGGGACCTTGCAACAAAAACACAGAAGTCTGTAGTGGTGTTTTGTTTGTAATCTAAAAAACAAACCTTACCTGAAGGTCAGAAAAGCAAAGCAGATGGGCCACTAGAGAGTTCTTACCTCTACCAAGCCTAAGACCAAAGAGGGGCAATCCTGTACTCAGAGTGACTGCAGACTGCAATGTTCTCCACCAAAAACCTCAGACTACCCTGAGACTGCACTGATCTCCTGCCTTATATCCCTCTCTAGTGCTGGGATTAAGAATGTAAGCTCTATTTCTCTTTGAGATTGTTTCACTCTCATGTAGTCCAGGATAGCCTTAAACTCACAGTGGTCCCTCTGTGTCTGTCTTCTGAGTTCTGGGATTGAAGATGTGGTTACCACAGCCTGTTCTCCATGGCTAACTAGTGGCTTAGGTGTATGGCTCACTAGTGGCATTGCTGTTAACTAGGTGTGTGGTTAACTAGTGGCTAAAGTGTGTGACAAACTAGTGGCTTAGCTAATAACTGGGTGTGTGACTAACTAGTACCTTAGCTCTGCACTCTGATATTCCAGAAAGCTTCATTTGTTAGATTACAAATAAAATATCACTAAAGAAACCAGGATGCCAGGAAATGTTGGTGAACCTCTAATGATTTAAAGATGGTGTGGCAGCATAAGAGGAGTATAGGGTCTTGCAGGTCAGAGGGATCTCCAATACTGAGAAGAAACTTGAAGCACTTTGTCTGCAGTTAACTTTTAATTCCCCCATTGAACAATTTTATGAACTCTGCCCACAGTTCTGGAAACCACAAAGCATTCAAATCAATAATAGATTTCTACCTTCCCTGAAAGGTTGATTTTCAAATTTACTGAGGTGGTTTAATGATAATGGTTCTCAAAAGGAGTGGCACTCTTAGAAGGTGTGATTCTTTTGGAGTAGGTATGGTCTTGTTACAGGAAGTGTGACACTGTGGAAGTGGACCTTGAGGCCTCATACATGCTCAAATCATGCCCACTGAGACAGTGTACTTCCTGTTGTCCGCATATCAACATGTAGCAGCTCCTTCTCCAGGATCCATGTCTGCCTGCATGCTACCATATTCCCCACCATGATAATAATGGACCAAACCTCTGAAAATGTAAGCCATCATAATTAAATGTTTTCTTTCCTAAGAGTTACCATTGTCATGGTATCTCATCACAGCAATAGGAACCCTACTTAAGACACTTACCAATGTATAAAGGGGAGTTTTCAGATTTGGCAAAATCTCTATGTAGGAAATACCCAAGGGCATAATGGGAGTTTCACCAATTCCACATATAATATTTCCTACTGCTACAAATATCCACATTGATGATTTAATTTCTTTCACACACTCTACATTAAAACAAAAGAAAATTGCATGAGTATTTTGACAGTCAAGTGTTACTGACAGTTACTTCAAAAGTTTTTGTAAACCTTTCTCAGTTCACAAGCCCACAATGATGATTCAGTGACTTCCTTTGCTTACTATACTATCTATGAATTTGTAACTCACCCCTACTGCTTGTTTTGAAAGATTACCTAGCAATGGAGTATAAGTGCTATCCTGGAAACAATTCCCTCTTGGGTTGGAGAGATAATACTCTACAGATAAATGCCTCTTCCCAATTCAGTGTTTAGTGACAACACACTTGTTGTGAGAATTTACACCATAGAAATAGGCAAACCACTAAAGCTAGGAGTTTTCCTCACATCCAGGGACTCCATTATCCACCAGCCAGGATACCCAATTAGTAAAAGTGTGCTGTCGTGTTTCTCCACAACTTTGAGTAAGGAAAAAGAAGCACACTTGTTTATGTCTCTGACAATTCATGCTGTCCTGACACAGCACAGAGAAGATTGATGGAAGTTTGAATTCCACACAGCCTCAATTACTTTTTCAAAACTAAATATTTTCATTGAATAGTAAACATGTTTTCTATAGATTTCATCTTTTACTATCAATAAATATTCAAATCGATCAAGCAACATGCAATCAGTGGAGAAAGACAAACTAAGCCAAATGTACTTGAAAGGCAAAGCGAGAAATCTTTGAAGGTGTGCATGCACCTCCCAAATTTGTTGTACGCTAAAAGAATTCACAGTCCCAAAGGAAGCTTGACACTGTGTTTTCAGAGGCGTGAAGGACAATGTATCCTCTCTTGTGGACTGAACAGGGGCTGCCATTAAATGTCCTAAGCACAACTGAGACATGAGATCTAACTCTTACTTATTCTTGGTTAAAGCAAAATCAGTTTCCATCTCTGGGAATTAAGATAATTATTATATTTGATAAATACATTGATTTCTGCCTACAGATCACAGGGGGACTCTCAACCCTCTTCTAAGGCAGAACTGAAGGCATCAGACACTGAAAGAATCAAGTGCTTTCCTTAGGCTCTGCACATGGGGAAGATTTTAATTATCTACTACAATGCAAGGAGTACAAGGGGTGGCTTTTCAAAAGTTGGTTCAGGAGGTGAGAAGGGGCTAGCTTTGAGGACACTGCTTCAGGTGTCTTTGCTTAGAGGGCTGCTGTGTCACTGAGCTTCAAGATGGCTGCGCTTTGACCCTCGAGTTATTTTGATCTCCACAGACTCCCTGGGAGCAGTAACATTCCAAGCCTTGAAGGCTGCTGCAAATTCTGTAGCATGGATCTAGCATAAGATAAAGGAGCTCTGGCCTGAGGTGATTCTGCTGAGACAGTTCTAGACTAAATGTTCAGAAGACATGCTGGTTGCTTTAGCATATGTGACATTAGGAATACTTTTTAAATGTATATCTAAATGGGTGCATGTACCTTTATGAGCATTTGTGCACATTGCGTGTGCAGGTGCACAAGAGGGCCAGAAAAGGACACTCAGTTCCCCAGAACTGGACTCACAGGGTGTTGTGCGTACCCTGATATCACTGCTGAGAACCAGGCAGGCCCTCTGTAAGGATTATATGGTGCTCTGAACCAAAATATCCCCCAAGAGTCCCTAGAATTAAATATTTACCCTCCAGTTGGTGGTGCTACTGGAGAGGTGGAGGAAGAGTGTGACTGGAGATGGACTTCACAGGCTCAAAGCCTTACCCTACTTCCAGTTTGCATTCTCTGCCTTATGCTTATAGCTGAGATGTGAGCTTCTAACTTCCTTCTTCTGCTGCTGCCATTCTCTCTACCATGATTGGTTCTCATCCCTCTAGAAGAGTGGTTCTCAACCTCTGTGTCATGACTCCTTTGAGGGTCTGGTGACCCATTTACAGAAGTGACCTAAGACCATCTAAACACACACACACTCATGCGTACACACACACATATGAATGTATATATGTACATATATTGCAATTTATGACAGTACCAAAATTACACTTATGAAGTAGCAATGAAAATAATTTTGGTTGTGAGTCACCACAACATAAGGAACTATATTATACAATCACAGCATCAGGGAAGTGGAGAACCACTGCTCCATTGCCATAATCACAAATACACTTTCTTGTGTAAGTTCCCTTGGTTATAGTGCTCTATCAAAGTCAAATAACAGTAAATACTACATGCAGTAAGTGCTTTTACACAACATCCGGCTGTGTCTCTGAGGCAGGTCACTATGGTTATAACATAATTATCAATGGACTAGTCTGTTGATGAAGTCAAGAGGCTGACACTAACGAGATTTACTGAAAGATAGAAGGAGGTTGGTCCCAGGGATGGCATGTCCAGAGAAGCTATATCACACTGCTTCCTGTATCTTGTTTCCCATTGTTCCTCCCTGCCAACCAGTGAAGAAGAGTGTCACCATGATACTCTGTCCATAAACATGGAGCCAAGTGACCATGAGCTGAAGCCTCTAAAACAATGAATGAGAACCATCCTTTCCTTGAGTTATTCTTCGGGATTTGGACCTCATTGATGGGAAAGCTACTAATACAGCATATGAAGGGCAGGAGCCAGGACCACAGTGCCTGGGGCTACAGAAAATAATGGAACACCACTGGAGGGTTGGACTGCAAAGTAATTTCTCTGTTAAAGAGGGAAGAGGAGACTGAAAAACAAATTCCTGGTAATTAAGGAATTCTGCACCGTGACACAGGCAGTGTATCAGGTACACAGGACAGATCTGGGGAAGCCTCTTTGTGGTTGTATTTAATATTTGTATAATCACTGTAATGACTAGTTTTTGTCAACTTGACACAAATCTAGACATACCTGAGAAGAAGGAGACTCAGTTGGAGAACTGCCTCCTTCAGACTGGACTGTGGGAATGTCTGTGGCATTTTCTACTTGGGTTATTGATGAAAAACAGGGTAGACTGCTGTGGAGAGTACCAGACCTGGACAGATTGACCTATGCTGTATAAGAGAGGTAACAGAGCACTCCAGTATGCAAGACTCAGTGGTGTTCTCTGCTTTGGTCTCTACCTCTGTGCTCCTGCCTTGAATTTCCTCATGGTGGGCAACAATTTGTAAACTTTGTTTTACCTGAGTTGGTTTAGTCCATGCTATATTATAGCAAAAGAAGAACAAACTAGATCAATCACATAGATCTCATCTTGTGAATAAATCCATCCTTATAAGTTGTTTTCCTTTGTGGGAATAACTCTACAATGGTGCTAAAGTGGATATCTTTGGCTTGTTTTTAAAATAGTAACTTTAAGAAACAAAGGAGTCTTAATGAGTATATTCAAACTGAGGAGGCAGATTATTCTATGCTATTAGACAATTGCCTTCCTTCAAGAGGTAAAATTTATTCATTTGTCTTAGATGCCCACTAAACACACTGCCACATTCAAAGCCCTTCATGGAAGAGTATTCTCTGGCCCAGTCTCTGAGCAGAAGCAATAAGAACCATTAGTAGACCTTTTGGGTCAGGTGTTGGCATTAAGGTCTGGGTTCCGATTCCCGAACACAGGAAGCTGTTTGAGGACAAGTTGCTTGAAGGTGAAATTGTTGTTTCATATTCGTATCTGTGTGGACACATGAAACATTCGGTGTGAAGAACTGAGTACAATGAGAGCATCTGCAGATTAGTGACTCCTGCTTCCCTGAAAACATAGTGTCCAGAGCCTGTAAAGAGACAGCAGTCATTCTAGTCATAATAAGTCCTATAACAGGGGCAGTAAGAGCACCCATAAGGTAAAAAGTTGAATTATGTGTTTGTATGGAGCTACAATTGCCAACATCCTACTTTCCATGCTTCATAATATAGCCCAGAAGTCAGAACAACTTCCCACTGGAACAACTGCCTGGATGTCCCCACAAAAGTTGCCAGTAAAGTGCGGACAAGATCCTGTGTCTCTCTATTCATAATCCCATGAAGACAGGCCAGTTTCAGAGAATAATCACCATTGGCAGAAGGTAGGAAAGCATATTAACAGTCAAATATTTCTAGACATCGATTTCAATATAATAGAATGTAAAATATAATTTTTAAATTCCATCCACAAATTGTCAATTTCCTTAAAAAAAAAACTGAGAAGATAAGTATTCTTCATTTAGTTTATTATCCTCTTAAAATCCAGTTGTCCCATCAATGTTCATGTATTTCCCAATTGACAAAAAAAAAAACTGCAGAAAATCATCTCAAACTGAAGAAGAGGAAACCTCATTTCCTCAAAGATGAAAAACATAGATATAGTGATGTTGTTCAGCTGTTACATTGGCAACAGGAATGCACCAGTCTTGGGCTTGATCCTGGGCACAAAATAAAACAAGAAATGGTGAGCCATGTTTATAATATCAGTACTCAGGAGATAGAAGCAAGTAAATCAGAAGTTCAAGATTACCCTTAACTACTGAGTGAGTTTGAAGCCACCCTTTCCTACATGAGAGTCTGTTTCAAATAAAAACAAAACCCTTGTGAGATACCAGATGCACCCAGTGTGCCAATGCTTTCTTCCAAGACTGATGACCTAGCTTGCACATCAGGTCCCACAGGGAAAGCGGAAGGAATTGACTTCTGAGAGTTGTTGCCTGGCCCCACATGAAAGCACATACACTTTACCACAACAACATATAAAAACAACATAGATAAAAATAAAAACCATAAATGAGAGATTGAAAATGTAGTCAACTCGTGAGATTGAGATTGGATAACTGAATGGCTGATGAATCAAAAGGCCATGGAAATATGAGCTATATTATTCTTTGGGGAGCCTCAGGATATGATCCAGGTCTCCATTGAAAACTTCATGAACAGACTCCCAATTCAGGGCCTAGTTGGACATAAAAAGCAAAGTCTAAAGTGAGGTTAAAATACACAGAAGGAAGATCTAGAAACTCAGACTCGGCCTCAGTCTCTCCAACTGCAAATGGTCACATGTAGTAAAGGAATCAAACTGCTACATTCAGGAAAGAGAAGTCATGAAGGAGAATCATTATATTTCAAAACTTCACACAATAAAAGATGATGTTTCCATTCCTTTCTGGCTGGAAGTCAAGTTTCTACATCTTTAACAAGTACAGAGAATTCCTGCCCAGGATCATAGTTTACACACATTTCTGAGTAGTGTCTTAAATCCCCAGTTCACCACGGACTGGATAGGACCTGAAGTGGACCTAAGGCCACCAGTTTCACAAATCATACTGGGAAAGTGGAGCTTATGTCTTCTAATTTCCTTACTAGCATTCTGGACTTTGGAGGAGCAATGCTGCTTCCAGAGTGGAAATTTTGAGCTTTATTTCCCATAGAGGCAAGTTGAACCTAAAATAACAGCAAGGACTGGAAAACTCACCGGTCCATCAGGAAATGAGGTAGTGACATTAAGAAACACCCTAGGCCCATAACCACACATCCAACGCCAATCATGACAGGCCTATTCACTTTTGTTCCAAAATAACTCACGGATATAATCAACAAAATGTTTCCTGGGAGGGGGAAATGAGAATGCTGGTTTCAGTAAAATATTATCACATCATAGCCAACAGCCTCTCCAGAATTGTTTAACAACCACCTTAAGAATACAGGGATGGGTGCTTAGGAGGTTCGTGCATTATTCTCCTCCATTCTGGAGAATATTTGGGGCTCTATTCAGGATTATCTATCCCTGGATACAAAAGCAGGTGTCAGCCTGCACGTCACTACCAATGTCTCCTCTCATGTGTGCTCTGTGCAGAGTCTAATGCATTCACGTTTTTAAACTTACTTTTCAAAACTCCCTTTACTGCTCAACCTGGCCAATCTGTATGTCCACTTCTATTGTCACATCTTCCCTCAGTTAGGTAATACCTGTTTGTTAAGCAGAGGGAAGGTAAGAGTCCTAACCCTTCAACTGTGTCTTGGGTCTAGATTGCAGGAGTCAAAAAGTCAAACCAAGCGTTCATCTCTGTGGGTTAGGAGAAAGCTTAGGTTTAAAGAAACTTAGTGGGAAGCCCCATTCCGACAGGGAAGGCTATGATAAATGTGCTTAAGAGAGGAAAGAACACCTGTGACACAGTCTTGTCATCCTCAGGCACAGTGGGGCTCAGAGAAGAAGACTACAAGATCAAAGTCATCCTGGACCACAGAGTGAGCTCACAATCAGGCTGGGCAACTTACTGAGGACTTCTTTAAAAAATACAAAGTAAATAAAGGGGCTGGGGATAGAGGGGTATAATGCTTGCCTGATGTGTGTGAAGCCCTAGACTCAATCATTGGTATTATTCACAGAAGGAAAAGAATTGAAAAGAAGCAAATAGTAAGTAAGCTTTCCTCAAACTATGTATTTTTGGTTTGATAAAGAATATTTACCCTGCTCATATTATACATAAAGGAAAGATCAGAAAACTCAAAACACTTATTTGATGACTTAGCAACTCTCTAAGTGATCTCAAATACTTGAAAGATATTTGAAGACTCTGCTTTTCTTCCAATTCCATTTCTCTCTACTCTGCTATCTATGTATAAGAGATGTTGCTTGAATGGGAGTGTGGCCCACCTCTATATCCTTATTACCCTTGTATCAGCCTCTCTTTGTTTGCAAAGGCCCTGTCAATGAGACTATCATGCAGAAGGTAATGCCCCAGGATGCCCGCTATTTGAATGCTCTGTGAATCTTTTCAGTCTAAGGCTCTATCCCCTACCCCATCAAATGCACTGGATCTTGTCTGAAATCTCTATCATTTGAAAGGAAAAAGCATTCTTCTACCTTCCCATAACATTAGGCTGACTTCATCCCAGCATAAACTATTGGATGGTTCACCTTCTGCACAAATCTCCCCTTCACATTTACCTGTCCATTTCTCTATCCGGAAAACCTTACTCCTTCAGGAGACTGTCCTCCCCAGCACAATCTGTTCCATAAGTCCTTGGAAAAAACCAATGGACTGCACTTGTTGTGTCTAACACACTAGAATCTATGTAAGGTCTATGTAATACACGAGAACGTGACTGAATATCATTAAGGTCCATGTAAGGCCTTCATCCTGACTGCACTGGGAAGGCCTAGGACACAGGTAGCAGAATAGGCACCAAGGAACTTGACCCTGAGAGACAGGATGGAACATCCTCAGTGTGGGTTTCCTTTGCTGTTTTCAATAAATACATTAAAGGCTATTTCTCCTTGAAGGGAGTAAAAACTAAGATTAAACCAGAGATGAGAGGCAGCCAAGACTTTCAGGTCGCTTTGTTTACAGAGAGCATCTTTCTCTCCTTCATGCTCTGTACTCTCACATCCAAGTTTGTCACCCAAAATCAGGGCTAAAGTTCATTCACTCTTAGTAATTGTGTGGGCATAAGTCAAACACAGGAAAGCATCCTCATCTTTTTAGTGACTAGGAGCTGAGAGCTGTCAACTTCACAGACACAGTGCGGCAAGAGAAGCATTTGCTCCCTTCGGGTCACCAGTTCCTCCAGGCTCCTACAGCAGCCTTCTAAATGCCATGGAAAGGTCTTAATGTCTCTTTGAGTTATCTATCAAGTGATAGTATTAGATTAATAATCTAAATCTTCTGTCACTTGTCAGATAGGAAGGGACTGCGTCAAAGTGTGTGGCAATAATTAGATGTTATCATATGCATGTTTAAATAGTGGTTTCTTCATGCACAAACCAGGTTATTCAACCACATGAGTAAGGATGTAACTCTGTCAGATCAAATAGTCTAATGCAGGAAATACACAACAATAAGGAAATTTAAAAATAACTCACCAATCTCAAAGCTCCCATTGATAAATCCAACTATAGATGTGGGGATATTGAATTGTCTCTCTGTATGTGTGAGCATGGAATTCAAATAACTTCCTGATAATGTTTTGGATATATATACCCATGTTAATGCAAACAGAAACATCTAGGAGGAAAAACATTTAAGAAAAAATGAGAACTTCATTTTCTGATTATATATCTGCCATCTACTGACCAAACAGCCTCTACCGTGAATTAGAGGATTACATCCAGAATAAAAATCCCTCCAACATGCAAGAAACTTTAAGGTGTAATCTCTGTTCTGTTGTGGTTTCCAACTCCAGAAACGCACAGTTAGAATACTTGGTTAGCAATGGTGAGTTTTGTAGATGGGTATTTTTTTCTCTTCTATCAGTGTGCCTTATTCATACAGAAAGACATGGAATTATTGTAAGACACAGCTTTTGTTGGGACTTGGGCATTATATTGCTTGACAAGTGTTGTCCACTTTATGGAAGAGAAGGAGCAGAGAATAAAATTACACTACAGCATTGTTTCTCCAGCAAGCCTACTGTGATCTGTCTACGGAGATGGCAGTTCTCTTGATGTCCTTGGACAGGTCAACACTTTGTCCTCTTTGTCTGCATTCTTGAGAAAAACAAGCTACATTCTCACTACTGAAGGCAATGGCAGCAGCAAAATGACCTACTTATTTTTTTCTCCTAGGGCAAAATGCCCTATAGCCCTATATCACAGTAGTTCCAGTGGTAGTTAAGGCATATAAATTCACACCATTTTGCAGTCCCTTGTGTACAAGATATAATGTGGCTGTGTACCGGTAAGACTCCTCATTTCCTGCCTGTGACTAATAAACTCACTTGGAGCAATGTAGTGAATGTGCTTCCTGTTTCCCTTAACTTATCTTCCAGAAGCTGGTTGATATCAAATGACATCATCCCAGCTTCCAGAACTTCTGTACTGTCTCATCTGAAATAATAGGAGAATCATCCTGTGTTACAAATGTACTTACGGCTTGTAAATTTATTGCCACAAACACCAATCAATTTGGATAAACCAGAACAGATATATATGCAAAAATTACTTGGAAATGTAAACACCACGTTCAGTATAGCTCAATAGTACTATATTGCAAGGTAGTGAAATTCAGCTCTAGAAGTTTGTCTTCTAACGCTACATGACGATGGCAGAGATGTTCCCTCTTCACACTACAAATCTTTCAGGGATGTACCTGATGTTTGATAATTTTCAAATGAGTTTTATAATTAAGGTCCTATATTTAATAGCCAATTCTATAAAATTAAGAAAATCAGGCTTGGGGAGGTCATTTATTTGATTTATGTTTGGAAGAAGAAAGCTAAGCAGATAATGAACACACTGCTCTTCCTCTAAACTATTTGGTTGTGTGCAGAAAGTGAAAGAATCAGTGTCCGTGCTGGTTCAGGTCTACTCCTACACAAGATCAGTGTTTATAAGCCAGTCCTGCTGACTATTCGCCTCAGCACTCCACAGCCTGAAGCAAACTGTCTCAGAAGCAGTCTTTTCATTCATTCTGAGGAAATTCTTCTTTTTCTCCTTTTTCTTTCATCCTTTTTCTTTGTGTAAGTGTGAGCGTGTTCATGTGGAATGAGTTCATGTATGTATATGTACATGGGAGACAGAGGACAGCTGCAGGTGTAATTCCTCAAGCTTTGTATATTTTTAATAACAGGAACGCCCACCTTCCTGGAATTCACCCAGGAGGCAAGGCTGGCTTCTCAGAGAGCACCAAGTATCTGCCTCACTTCATCCCCCCACACTGTATTAATGTGTCACCATGCCAAGTTTCTGTGTAGGCTTGGAGACTGAACTGGTCATCCTGCTTCCAAGACAATTACTTTAGTGATTGAGATATTTCCCTGCCCCCTTGAGAAATCTCCCTCTCCTTTCTTTAACAAATTTTATTCATTCAATTTACTGTTTGGTGATTTCATAGATGCATGGTATGTTCTGATTATTACTTTCTATTTTTTCTTTCTTTTTATTTAAGTTTTTACACATATTACTCTCATTTCACACTCCCTCCCCTTCCTCCCCCAACCCCACAATCCTCCCAACCACCCACCCCACTCCATCCCCCCTATGCACCCCAGGGAGGGTAAGGGCTTCCATGAGGAATTTTCAGAGTTTGTCATATCATCCCAGGCAGGGCCTAACTGCTTCCCCATGTGTCCAGGCTGAGAGAGAATCCCTTCATGTGGAACGGGCTCCCTGAGTCTATTTGTATGCCAGGAATAAATGCTGCTCTACTCTCCAAGGTCCCATGGATTGCCGAGGCCTCTTCTCTGACACCCAGGTTTGGGCGGGGGATGTCTGGATCAGTCCCATGCTGGCCCCTCAGTCATCAGTCTGGGGTCCATGTGCTTCCCCTTGTTTAGGCCAGCTGCCTCTGTGGGTTTCACCAACCTGATCATGATTCCTTTGCTCATCACTCCTCTTTGCAACTGGGTTTCATGATTATTACTTTCCATTTCTTCTCCCCAGTCTTCTCCATCAAGACACCCATTCCTAGAAGTCCTTTTGTAAGTTTCGTGAGTTTTGGTTTAGTTTTGGTGCTGTGTACCTTAACCAGGGCCATCTATGTAGCCACTGGGTTAGAACCAACCATCAGTATCTAGTGAGATCACCAGTGTGTGCAGGATCAAAGGCCATGTTCAGGGACACTTTTCTTTTTAATTTTTTTATTTAGGTTAGAAACAATCTTGTTTCACAGGTCAATCCCAGCTCCTTCTCCCTCCCCTCCTCCCCCGCCCTCCCCACCAGGGCCCCCAGTCCCGCACCCAATCTCCACTCCGATTTTCTTAATGATTGTATTTCTAAACTTAAGAAGCAGGGGCTTCACTCTGGCATTATAGACCATTTGACCATCCTAACGTTCTAGATCAAAATTAAGAGAAGTCTAGTTATTTTTAAACAATTACCTCTAAACTTTGTGTTTTAAACTCGTAGTTTTAACATTTTCCCACAGTTGTTAAACTCCAGAGTAACCACGGTGATTTAAATAGGAATGGTTATAAGTTTATAGGTTCGAATGTCTGGCCACCAGGTAGTGGTATTAATAGGAGACTTGACCTTAGAGGAAATGTGTCACTGGGCCTGGACTTTGAGGTTTCACAATCTCAGGCCAGGCCTAGGGTTACTCATTTCTGGCAAAATACTGATCAGAATGTAGAATTCTTGGCTCCCTCTCCAGCACTGTGTCTGCCTGCAGGCTTTCAGGCTTCCTGACATGACAATAATAGGATAAACCTCTGAACCTATAAACCAGCCCCAACTAAACGTTTTCCTGTATAAAAGTTGCAGTGGTCAAGGTGTCTCTTCACAATAATAGAAACCCTAAGTAAGATAGTAACCAAAATCAAACATTGAGAAGAAGTGTTTATAATGATAGATGATTTTTCTCTAAATATTATATTAATTCTAGTAATTAATAACTATAATACTCATCATTACCCTAAGTTTTGAATTTGGAGATAAGGCTCAGCAATTAAGATCACTAGCTGTTCTTGCTGAAGACCTGGGTTCTGTTCCTAGTACCCAAATGGTGGTGTAAAACCACCTGTAACTCCAGCTCCAGGGGATCTAACACCTTCTTCTGGCATACAAAGACACCAGACACACAAGTGTTACACCACATACATGAGGGCAAGCATACATGTGCATAAAATAAAATACAAATATAAAGTAATTAACATGCCTTAATGTGAAGTCCAAAGTATAGATCGATGATAGAGGAGTTGCCTGGTGTGTGTGAGCATCTGGGTCTAATCAGTCATACCAGTAGCATAGGATATCACTGAAGGCTTAACAGTCACACACATATTGAGACAGAACACACACACACACACACAGAGAGAGAGAGAGAGAGAGAGATCAGAATGATTTTTATCTTAGAGAAAATAGGACTACCATTACCCTTTTCAGATAAAATACATTGAAGTGTAAACAAGTCACATAAATTGTCCAAAGTGACACATTCAGGGTGCACCTGGCAAAGGTTAGGAGCCAGGGGACCTGGGCTCCTCAGAATAAGGTGAGAACTGAAGGATAAATTGAGGAGGTTGGGTTCCATAATTCATGCATCACTACAGGTACAAAAAACTTTCCAGGGCTGAGTCTGAGTCTTCCCTCTCTTTTACATTAATACATGGAGTCCTCTCCATGTGGCTAAGGTAAAAAACCTTGTGATTGGCTAACTTATGAGGCAGCAGCTTAGAGTGGAACTTGTGAGGAATCTGAAGAGACTAGGCCGGTGCTCAGATTCCTTGGGTTAATACAAGTTCACATTTGAGATGCAAAGATACCTTTGGAACTGAGAGTTACAATCATCTCTACAATACTAAAAACCACCAAAACAGCTCACAGAATGAACATTTTCTTACAAATCAATGATTGTATATTGACAAAATTTGAAGCAAATATTTGTCTGATTAGGTAATGAAGCCATCTTTTCATATTAATCTACAGAGCACTTCTGTTAGAGAACTGGTTCCTAGCTGTGACCCCCCTGACCTTCTGTTGGGAACCCCTGAAGGCTGAGCACTGGGGTTCTGACTTCAGAACCTCAGACTTCCACAACTTAATATACACCAGAAACATTTGAATTCCCATCCTCCTTTAAGATCCTCTAAATCATTCTGATTAAGTTTCCTGGAAGAATTATCCTGGTTAGACACGCTAATTATAAAATCAATTTCTTTTCAGAAATTAGCAACAAATTGGATAAAATGGGTTTTGTCTTCAAGAAACTGCATGTGAGCTGAGCAATTTTACAAGGACTACCAATGCTTGTTTAAAGGTCTCCCATGCATATATACATGCACACATGCATATACATGCAAAAAATCAATACCTTGATCTTAGAAAAGTATCTCGCACCATGAGTTGCAACCCTTTGCTCAGGTTCTGCCATGATGTACTTCTGATAGTTTCCAAACATCTATACTTTAAACCTTTTTACTTGTGTCTTACTAAGAACACAGGTAGTTGTTAATTAAATTGCTTACTGAACTTTAACACATAATTCCTTTTTTTTTCATTTCTAAGATTGAGTTGTTTTTCTCTCTTTTTTTTCTTTCCTATGTTACATCCTGACTGCAATTTCCCCTCCATCCTCTCCTGTCAGCCCCTTCCCCCACCTCCCCCTTCTGCAGATTCATGCCTCCTCCACTTTCCTTAAGGAAAAAACAAAAGAGCTGCCAACCCAAGGATACAAACTAAACATGGCATACTAAGTTACAAGAAACTAGACACAAACCCCTAAAAAGGCAACATAGCAGAAGGAAAGTTGTTAAATTATTAAGACATTAAAACTGGCAGTTGTTTAATCATTTACATAACTGTAACAAGGAATTCTTAGAAAAAAACTCTCTTAGGGCTAGGGTGTCTTACTCGGGGTTTCTATTACTGTGGAAAATACCAGAACCAAATTAAAGGGGAAGGCTTACAGTTCTATATCACAGTTCAGCACTGATGGAAGTCAGAGCAGGAACTTGTGGCAGCAACCAGGATGCAGGAGCAGATGCAGAGGCCGTACAGGAATTGTGCTTCCTGCTTTGCTCCTCATGGGTTGCTCATCCTACTTTCTTTTTGGGGGGGTGTTGGTTGTTTGAGGCAGGGTTTCTCTGTGTAGCTCTGGAGCCTGTCCTGGAACTAGCTCTTGTGGACCAGGCTGGTCTTGGACTCACAGAGACCATCTGCCTCTGTCTCCCGAGTGCTGGGTTAAAGCCATGGGCCATCACTGCCCAGCTCATCCTGCTTTATTATACAGCTCAGAATTGCCTACCCAGGATGGCCCCATCCACAGTGAGCTGAACCCTCCAACATCAGTCATCAGTCAAGAAAATGCACCACAGTCTAGACCACCAGTAAATCTTCTGGGACATTTTCTCAGTTGAGATTCCTTTTTCCCAAATGACCCTAACCTGTGTCAAGTTGGTATAAAACTGTTCAGCATAGCTGAGTGGCAGGTCAGTGGGTAAGGGATTTGATTCTGAAGCTTGAGGACTTCAGTTTGAATTCTTTGCTGAATTCCCTGTACCTGCCTGTAACCCCAACACTGGGAGGACCCAACAGCAGAATAACCGCAGTGTGCCAACCTGTCACTCCAAGCAAATGAACAACAGACAAGTTCAGTGAAGTGATGCCATAAAGACACTTAAAGTTGAGCATCCCAGAGGAGGACATTCATCATTGACTTGTGGCCTCCATGACATTCACATCTGTGTATGTGTACCTGCACTTGAACACATACTTATGTATTCACACAAACCCTATACACGACATACATACATAGTCACTGCACACACACACATACACAAAATATTTTGAACAGGAACAATTTAACCAGTACCTTGAATGATATAAAATAATGTAAGGAGCTTTTTTTGTATTCTAACTGATCTAGAACATAATGCCATAGGACAAGATTTGGTTTGTTTGATTTCTATTGAAAAAGCCAATGCAAATGACTATACTTGGTCTTTGGTGATATTAAAGCTATCCTCAGAGATTGTTATGCTATGACCTTAAAATAATTATAATGTGTTTATAATAAAGATTTTTCAATTCTTTTGTAAAGTAAATGAGATCCAGGAGATGCCTTTTGAATTCACTTGAAGATTGTTGCCTTTAAGAACATGAATATATCCATTGTGTTTCTTCCAAACCTCTGCTTCACTAAGCCCATGAAGGCTGTGTGACCAGGCTTCCTTCCTGATGTCTATGCGTTTCTAGACTTCTCTCGAGTCTCTAGAAGAGAAACACTTACAAGGGCACTGATGATTCACAGAACCTGGGGAGACAAGAAAACAATCTAAGTAAAAACAACAAATATGTCTATGATCTGGGAATAAATACAACACTTTCTAGATTAAAACTCTAGGGTTTATGAAAAGGTCAGACATCTAGACAGAGATTTATACATGGTTATTTATGACCTACATATTACATATGAACCAAAATGTCTCTCCCTGCATAGGTGATATGCAAATACAAGTATTTCTTTACAATGCAGAAATTTGAGCTCTACTCATCTGTACTAGCTTCATCAAACTCTTTATTGTCTTGAAAGTAGGATATTTTTCATCACCACTGTGGTAGTTTTAATGCAATTGGCCCCCATAATCTCATAGGGAGTGGCACTGTTATGAGGTGTGTCCTCGCTGATGTGGTTATGGTCATGTTGGAAGAAATATGTCACTGGGGGAGTGGGCTTTGAGATTGTCTATGCTCAGGATACAGCAGAGTGTCTCAGTCAACTTCTTGTTGCCTGCAAGATCTAGGACTCTACAGCACCATGTCTCACTGCATGCTGTCAAGTTACCCTTCATGATGATAATGGGTCCAACCCATGAACCTAAGCTGCCACCTCAATGAAATTTTTTCCTTTGTAAGAGTTGGGGTGGTCATAGTGTCTCTTCACAGCAATAAAAACTCTAAGTAAGATAGCCATCAAAGTCCTTTAATATCATATTTATTTTAGAAAATCATTTTCAACATGCCAGTATGATTTCTCAGGAGTATCCACAGCATTGATTTATGAAATTCTCTGAATAATGTCCATTTGGCAAGTAGGCCTGAATGGCTCTAAGCTTGTTCCATGTTTGTAAAACCTTTCAAAAGTTTACCAGAGTTTCATGTCCCAGTTGCCACTGAGGGATTATGTATGGCCCTAGTTCTCTTTACTGCCCTGCAGTGCAATGAATTCTTTTTTAACACTTACTATGTGCCAGTAACTGCATGAGACACTAAGACTGGAGAAAAAACAAGATAATCTTGCTGTTCTATGGATAAGTGATGTTGTTTAAGATGTCTCAGTCACCACAGTAAGTTGCTTGGACCTAAATCCCTTGGGCAAGATAAAATTTCTTAAAAAATAGATAGATTGATAGGTAGATAGACAGTCAGAATAAATATACACTGGAATTGAATGGGATCATGTAGACTAAAATACAATTTACTTATTGTGGAACTATGGAAGAAAATTCTTAGTCAGTAGATGAAAATTATACAGACTGTATCCTAGTGATCTCTCAATGGTCGTGTTTATTCTTCATTCATTCCACAAATATTTGTTAAGACATTGCTAAATTCCAATCATAGAAATAGGTGGTAGAGATCTTAAGATGAATAACTAGTGCTTGTTCTAAAGGTCTCAGAAGCTTTTGGAAGATATAGATAAATTAGATGGTGTGCTGATTTGTAAGACAATGGTCCCCAAATGGAGTGACACTGTTAGGAGGTGTGGCTTTGTTAGAGTAAATATCACCTTGTTTGAGGAAGTGTGTCACTGTGGATGCAGGCTTTGAGGTCTCATATATGCTCACACTACATGCAGAGAGACAGATCACCTCCTGTTGCCTTTGAGTCAACATGTATGACTCTCGGCTGCTTCTGCAACACAGTGTCTACCTTCACACCAGCATGTCCCACCATGAATATAATGAACTAAACCTCTGAAATGTAAGCCACCTCAATCAAATGTTTTTCCTTCATAAGAGTTGTTGTGGTCACGGCATCACTTCACAGCAGTAAAAATCCTAAGACGGAAGTGAGGTATTGTCCTGATATGCCTGACCATATTTTTGTTTGGAGGAATATGGCTATTCGTTCTTTGGGTTATGAAAGCAGTTGAATGCTTACAGTTCTGCTTAATGGGACATATTCATAGGTGCATGGAAGATTTGAACTGTGGGAGCCTGGTTCAAGAAGTTTCTGGGAAGGAATATATATGTGTGTCCTAGAGATTGTTCTTGTGGTACTTTGGTGAAGAGTGTGACTGCTTTTGCCTTTGTCTGAAGAGTCTGCCTGCCTGAGGCTAAAGCATAGAGGTTTGGATTAATTCCGTTGGCAGAGGAACTCTCTAATAGACTCTTTCATGTGGTTATTGGTGGTAACTCTAAAGAAGATTCATAACGAAAAGGAGGAGCAAGCCAGGGAGAAAAAGAACACCAGGAAGTGCAATTGAGCTAAGTCCTGTGTTCAAGAGAATAAACAGATTAATCAGTGATGTAGAGGGAGTGGTGACATAAGGACAAGACCCCATCAAGCTAATCTTCCAACTTGTGAAAAGGAATTAAGGAAAATCTTAGGAAAAGGTGTGGTGGTGCATACGTTAACCTGGCACTCAGAAGACAGAGCTGGGCAGTCCCTGAGTCTAAGGCCAGTCCAGTCTCCAGAGCAAATTTCAGACAGCCAAGTTCAGGCAGTGAAGGAAGCCATGGAAAAAAGAAAGCTGGTGAAGATGTAATTGAACAAGAAGACTGTGTTCCAGCCTCAGTAAGCAGCAGAACTTGCCAGCTTTGGCCACTTGGTTCTGGCACTAAGGATATAAAAAAGGGGCTATGGAATTTGCCTCCATGACCAAGAAATGTTGGAAACCATGGGAGTTGCAGCAGGTGACAAATAGTGTTCAGATGTCAACCCTCCAGATGAATGTTTCTCTGATGGAGGAGAATCCCATCTTGGCAAATCCTGTGGGACCACTGACTCTGGACGCTGTTGCTCCTGTCTACAATTTCACATGTGCAAAATTAGCTATGGTGTTGCCCCAGTACCTGTACTGTAGTATGTAAACTCACATGATATGTATATGTAATCTCATGATTGCATCTCAATCTTATGGGCACATATACCGGTGGATGATCAGGAAGATGACTTCCCATTAATATATATATATTTATTTATTTGTTATATATATTTGTTATATAGAAAATATACTAGGATGTGCTTAATAACTAGATCCATTGTCCCAGGAGGACTGTAACACACTTAAAAGCCTACTTTTTTCCTGTTACTCAAACTACGCACAATTAGCTCACTTTTACCTCTGAGCAAGTTCAAACCAGACTGAATGTTTCTGTAAATGGATCATAAGTTTAAAACTTTACGGATAAACACAAGGCTCACCACCAGATGGACTCACGCGGACAGGCAGGCAGGCCAGAAACGTGCTAAAGTTGCTTCCCTGTGAGTTCCCAGCATGACTCACAATCTCATTCTTTTTCTTTTTCTTCTTTTGCTATTTTTTCTTTATCTTTATTTCTTTCTCATTTTTTTTGAGG